AACCAAGAACTCGAGGAAACAAAGGGAAGAAACGATATAAGGAAAGACAATTAAGCACAAAGCAGCAGCAAAACAGGGAATAGCGGCCATCAGAATAGATACGTATATGCGCCTGTGTGTATGCGTATATATACCTCTACCCCGGTCAGGTACTTGAAAGCTGAGAGGGCGCTCAGAAGGAATGGCGGAACACAAAACAGATATGTATATGTGCATATGTGCATGTGTCTATACTCCTCTACCCCGGTCAGGTATTTGAAAGGTGAGCCGGCGCTCGCCCAAGGACCCATATCACGCAGAGCCAAGGCTTGCGGTGTGAATGCATACAATGACAAATTCTATATGCCCTGTTGCTTCAACAAGTGTCTTTCCTCCTTGCTTGCTAACTTGTTCGCCGCCCGTTGCTGCGGGCCGCGAGCCGCGGCCGCTACTTTTCTGTCGGCAGTATGCACTGCGTAGCCTTGCATCTACATACTTTACCTTCCACCCTTAGCCTTCCCAAGAGGCAAGCAATTTCGGTGTGAGCAACGCACTGGTGGTAGTAGCCAGCCATTTCAGTGCTATATATGACAAGTGCTGTTCCGTGTGATAGTGACAAGAAAAGTTGAAGATCTCGGATTTAGCTGAAGAAGAACCCCAAGCGGATGCAGCACACACCACTGGCATGGACGGCCATACATATGTTGATAAAAGCTTGCACATATAGATGGCGGGGTCGCGGTGGCCGCCCGCGGCTCGTCGCTGCCACCCACCCTCCTACCACGGCGCCTCCCCTGCCAGTGGCAGCTCGGAGATATGAAATTTGCACGACAGATAGATCGTATATACATTACATGCTGGTAGATGTGCTTTACGTATGTATGTATGTATGTATGTCTGTATGTATGTATGTATGTATGTATGTATGTATGTATTTATGTATGCATGTAGGTGTGTATGCATGTAGGTGTGTAGGTGTGTAGGTGTGTGTGTGTGCGCGTCTATATATATAAAGCGAAAAGCACAACAAGACGGAACACGAAAACGACAAACAACAAGCAAAGAAAGCAACAAGGAGCGGAGCATGAAGGAAAGGCGTAAAGAAAAGGCAGAAAACAAAAAGCAAAGAAAGCAGCAGAAAGCGGATCGCAAAGCAAAAGCAGAAAACAAGAAGAAACAACAAGCAAAAAACACAAACAACTGAAAGCAAAAGCAAAAAGCACAAAAAAGCAAAAAGCTAAGCAGAAAGCAGAAAGCAGCAGAAGGCGTAGGCAAAGCAACAGCAGAAAACAAAAAACAACAAGCAAAACACACACACACAAAAACAAAAAAAAACATATATAAGGCATACGAAGAAAACACAGAAACAAAAGAAACAAAATCCTCAAATAATTCGGATTCCTGTTCTTGATGTTCAAACTTCGCACCACTCAGGTACCCACCGTCCCGCATACACCGGTCAGAAAGAGACTCGATCCATCAGTGTCTGCAACCTGAGTCCTCCACTCTGCTGAAGTGTTCCCGACAGTTCCCGATATCAAATTGCCAAACTCCTCGCAAGACCCGCAATCTGCGACCCGCCGCCAATTGGTAGCCCATGTCTGGAAGCTTCTAATCCGGCAGTCGTTGGCGCCTCTCCCGGGTAAGTGAGCTTGATGGAATGGGTCAACGATCCACTTGAATCAAGGACCTGGCCTCCCAGGACACAGGCTGCAGCCGTTCACAGCTAGATGGTCTTAGCTTGATTCCTGGCAACTCGCATGGCCCGGTGTGCGCTGCAAATAAGCTGTCATGACATCTGATGTGAGGCTGTCGGTGGAAATTTCTGTCGTGGCACCTAAGTTGGCCGTAGTTCCCCTCGACTTGACCTTCTCCTTGTCAGAAGGCACCTGTCGCAGGCCCCATGGACTGCCCCATACCTTCATTCCTAACAATGCAGCAGAAGCAAATGGCTCCTAGATGTTCACAGCAATCGCTAATGTTGACAGGAAGAAAAACCGCTTCCAAATCGCAGCTAGGGCTACAAATCCGAAAACTCCGACCTGGAATCCTGGCAGCCTTGCCGCCTTTCAAGCAAGAGCAAAGCGCTCGAAAGAGTCCATCTCTGGGCACCTCTGGATTTGAAGGCACCGTCTACCAACAAAAGACTCGCGAAGGCTTCACAGAGAGGCCTGGATCGCGTGCTTTCCGTGCGTCACCTGGTCGAAGCAGTGAAAAGACACTGGGACGCTACGAGGTTCCGGTTCGAAGCTAGATCAGGATGCTTGCGTGACCTGCAGAAACCGGGCTGTGACCAACACTGCATGTTTATGCCAGATCTAAAAGTTAAAGGCAACTCGTAGATTTCTTGTGACGTCATGCAGGAAGTCCGCTGCGGAGATTCGTGGCCAGGCCTCAAACTTCAGGTCTATAACCCGGAATGAGCTCAAGGCAAAGCTTAAATGATTCCAACAACCTATTGTGGTTCCACGCGCTCTGACGCGAACGTGTGAGAGTGGGGCCCACCTCTGCCTCGCACTCCTCCAGTGGATACAACGCGACATGACCTCAGGGGCGGCGCCTTTTGTATCTCGTAATTAATGGGACCAGACTCATGTCTGTGATTGTCTGTGACTGCACGGGGAAACTGCACACACCAGTCATCCTCTTTGGCATCGCCACAGTGGTTCCACCCAGTTTTGCAAGTTTGCTCTCCTTCAGCTTAGTGTCCATTAGAAGTCGTCAACGAGTGCAGAACGTACTGACTCAAGCCGCAATTAGCAGTGTCTTACCTCATGCGAATCTCGAATCCTTTAGGACCTGTACCCCACCCCATCGTGCCAGGGTCCGCGCTTCGAAAGCAGCATGCAAGCGTGGATCCACTAGTTGACAGGGAGATACTCAGAATCGTGTCCTTCAGTCCCACAGCAAGCTGTAAGCGGGGACTGTAAGCCGGCCGAGGCAGGTGAGGACTTCGCAAAGCTTCATTTACGGGTTCTGGGCAGGGGCGTAGGAATGGAAGGTGCACGGATCCAAACTTGTAGGACATTGTAGGACGTAGGAGCCCCGGGCCATTGACCTTTCCGGCGGAAACCCGGCCGCTCCTCGTAGCTGGGAATCTGCAAGACCATTTGTCCAGAGCTGGCATTGAAGACACTTACCTGCACCAGGGAAAGGTCTGCTGCCATCTTGGGTGCATTGAAGAGAAGATTTCAAGATACTGTCTAGAGTCTAGAAATCAGGGCAGCTCATTCTCAGAGCCATTCAACTCGCCTTCGAACACAATGTGCGAATGAGGTAGTCGGTCCCGGCCGGGGCGACACTCTTGTCCGGTGAAGGCTGCTCTGAATGCGTAATGGGAAAAGCGACCGGTAGTGAAAGAAAGGATGTGAAGATGAAAGCTGAGAAACGCAAACATGGAGAGCCCATATTTTGAGCAAAGCCACCACCAAAAACCACAAAACCTGCACCAACAAACCACACCAAACAGTTTCCTCTTCCACAAACTCTGTGGCCTGAGAGGTGCCAGCGGCTGCCAGGAAGGAGCCAGCCCAGTCCTCGAAAAGAGGTTCTAAGAAAACACAATTTTTCCTCAATTTTGTTACTGCCGGTAGCTTCTTTCGGTTTGGTGACACTTCACTTCTGCGCTTCAGCACATACACCCGCACACAGGGGCTGTGCACATACTTGCACGCACTCATCGATCTTTCTTTGTCAGGTTAACTCGCTCGCTGCACGCATATATCCGTGTATATACCTATGTGAATATATAGCTTGTATGTAGCTGTGCACGGGTCTTATGTGTGTGTATATATATATATATACATGTGTATATATGTATATTATATATATATATATGGGGACAATGTGGGGTACACATATTTGCATATATATAATATATATGTATATATAAATATATATATATATATACTTTTTATGTAATTATGTAATTATGTGACATTTTGCAATTCTGGAATTATGAACTATGTAATTGTGTAATTGTGTATGTATGGATGTATGTATGTATGTTATGTATGTTATGACGGTATGTGTCTTGGTCCGTGTCTACATACTTGTGTGTGTATGTATGTATGTATGTATGTATGTATGTATGTATGTATGTATGTATTTATGTATTTATGTATACGCGCAAACATTTGACAGTTACATTCATTTGTTACGGGTTCATCGCGGAACTTTCGAGCTGTAGTAGCAGGAGTCTAAGTGACTAGTAGCAGTGGCGGTAGTGGTGGTGAATGTGGTGGTGGTGGTGCCAGTTGTGGGAGGAGGTGGAGGAGCACGTAGTAGCACGTCGAAGCAACAGCAGTGGCAGCTGTAGTAGAGCTCAGGGCGCCCCCACGAAAAGCCCTCGTCTAGATCTGGATACGTCGGCTTTAACGACGCATACACGGAATGTTGGTGGATATCTACAAGTTACAAAACAATCTGTAACATGTATATCTAGAATTCTAGCAAGTTACAGCAAGTTACAAACTTCGAACTGCGTGTTTCCCTCTGGCTTGCTTCCAAGCGGCTAGACTCCGACAGGTTTGATCGCTAGCAAGTCGCAGCTCGGTCCTTGCAAGCAAGGAAGCATGGATAGCGAGACTTGCTCCTTTGCTCCGACGTAACTCTCAGCATCAGAACTGATGGCTTCTATGGGCAGGGATCAGGATCCACTTAAAAAGATGTGCATGGAAGCCGAGCTCCGTGCCAACATTTGAACTCTTGCTCTGGCAGAAGCAGTGGAATCTTGCCATCATCACCTACCGCGGAAGCTTAAGGACTGTGAGATGTCGCCGGCTCCACGCTCTGCTCTGAAAGGCAAAGGGCAGATCTGATGTCGAAGGACTCAAGGCATTGAGTCTGTTGCTTTGTCTCGACATATTAGGATCCTTCCGCTGGAGCTAAGGCTGCTGCAGCCAACGGCCAGGATCTTCCCAGAGCTGGAGAAGGCAACCGCACGTGCCTGCACGTCGGAGTGCTCGCTTCAGACTCAAGGTCTCAGCAGAATGCCCGCGACCCTTTCCTCCCCTTGCTTGATCTTTCTGTGAGTCTTACGTCTTACGTATTGAGCTTACTAAAGTAGCATCGAAACCAAGGCGGGACCTTACATATCAACCTGCTCCAAAAGCACTGGTTCCAAATCTCCAACAGGGACGAGTGGGTTCTGTTAGCACGGCCCAGGAGGCTCTTCAGCAGATTGTTTACAGTTTCCCGATGTTCGTCATCATCTCCATCCTTGCCATCGTTATCATCAACAGAAGCATCATCCTCGGAGCAGTCTTCCTCTCGCCAAAGTAGAGAAGCAAGACCCAAGTTATGCTATGCTTGGCCTGCTTCGACACAGCAGCGCCAAGGTAGTGGCACTGGTCGCCTCCATGATCGTGCCATTGATTGAGTGCAAACGGGAATTGTCAGTTGTACAGACCACGGTACCGAGATGTTGAGGAACGGTTGCATTGACACCCACGTGCATCCTTTCAGTGCGAGGCAATGCAATGCAATTCTTGAAGGAAATGCCGAGGCACCTGAACCCTTGAAAAAGTGAAAGTCGGATGTGCTTCGGATAGGCTTCGGAAGTGCTCGTGAGATGTCTCTGCATCTCATTCATTTCTGAAGCTATGGTCACCCGCATGTTTCAGGTCCCATCGTTTCCTCTACAGCTGTGACGGTGTGGTCTCGCATGTCTGGTGGTATTCTGGCATCGATCCCTCGGACCTTTATACGTTGAGCCGAGCTACCCCCAAACGTCCGAAGAGAACGGGCCAACTGCACGCGCTGTCGGGCTGAGGTCGCCGCGTGCGACAATCCACATGGATGCTCGAGATCGGGTGTCATCTCCTGAGCAAAGCCCGGCTTATGGCCCGCAGGGTCAACAGCCTCAGCTTTCCTTCACTTGCTTGAAAACCTGAAAGGTCCAGCATGCGCAGAGTCAGAAGGTAAGGCCTTGCGCATGTTGTTAGAAGCCAAGCAATGGATGGAAATCCGGAGCAGGCCACTTAGGCCGCCCAGTCTTGAACTCTGGAAATGGGACTCGCGGTCTGATCAACGACCTTTGCCGAAGTACCCTGCAAACACACAGCGGCTTGGTACAGCTCAATGTGACCACGGCACCTCCAGCAGCAACAGCCAGAACATCTCCCGCCGGGGAGAAGGCAAGTCCATGCACCTGGCAAGATATTGCTCTGATTGTCCCTGTGGTCCTTTGCTGAACATGTCTTGCTCTAGTCGTCATGATTAGGTTCTTCTTCCTCCTCCTTCTCCGACGGCAACGGGTTACTGTGCTCAAAAAATTCATCCCACTACTGATCATGACGACGAGAAAGAGGGCCACCATGTGCCGTCTGGCAGCTATGCTACTGCTAGTACTCCAGTCGTGGGATCATTAAGGTTGCCGCCTGAACACACGAAATGGTGCTGAGGCTCGGCGCAAACACATCTGGCGTTTCTGCAGGGCCATCTGAACACCATCGCAGGCACAACAAGCAACAGAAAAAGCATTGACAATGAACCATCCGGAAGATCCTACCAACCAAACAAGAAAGCTATGACTTCTAAGGCAAAGTCAGATCGGCCCATGGCCTGCCCGGTCATCACCAGCTGTCTGGGATCCTCTGCTGTCTGCAGGGAGAGATGGCTCTGAATGAGCCTCTCCAGGCCGCTTCTGTCAGAGCAAAACACATCCCGTGGCTGGTGGTCCTTGTTGTCGGACAGATGGCAAACAAGGACCTGCCATGACGCGGCATTTAACACACTTTTGGCTTGTGGCAGTAGCACATTCCCGCAGAAGGTCTCGCTGTGAATTCTAGGATGGTGCATCCTGACCGCACCAGTGCTTGATGTGCTGCATCTGTCGGTGCTTGCATGGGTGACCGGAGATGCTTCCAAAAGCTGATCTGTGGCGTTTTTGTCGGAAATCAAAGGCAAAGGCGTGTCCATGCTAGGATCCGCCTCCACCATCGTCTATGGACGATGGTGGCTAAGTAGGCGGTAGCACAGAGAAAAACGATATGAGTGTCTGACTAAGTGTCAAGATTATCCTCGTATTTCAGCTCCACAAAGCCATCCTGCCGTAACGCGACACCATGGTAGAGAAAGCGCAACAAGACAACTGCAACTTACAAGTAGGTGGTCATGAAGCTCGCGCAGAGGGGAAGGCCTTGTCCCCGAGACCAACAGCCAGGAAGTTCATCGACGATAGGGCCAACTTCGAGACGTTGCACTCTACCTTCTCAGACTACGAACGAATCTTAGCTGACTTCAGTGTGGTGCCAAACAGAAGGGCTGAAGCACTGGTTCGAGGGGTTCGAAATTCTTTCTTCGGGTTTATCCACTGGGCATGCGGCACCGGTGTCTGCTGTAAATCCCGCTGCACTTGGGATCAGGATGCTGCAGGCGCCAGCCTTGCGACTAAGGATGGGTTCTTCTCGAGCAGCGGTCAATCGATAAACCTGGCGGGAGACATGCACATCAAGCCGCAATGCATGCAGTGCTGCTGCGAGCGTACGAATATACAATCGCCGAAGCATTGCGGGCAGTTCTCATGGATTTTTGACATGAATGTGTATGTCAAGGTAAATGGCGTGTGCCTACATAGTATGTATACGCAGAAACATACACCTGCATGCATGTAAACAGATTTGTGTTGCATATAATATAAACATCGGTGTGCATATGCATACAATTTTATACAGCGAGCGCAAGCACTGTACCGCAAGTAATTACGTATGTTTGTGCTGTTGTATGCATGTATGCATGCAGGCATGTATGTTACTATATGTGCATGTCTATGTCTATGTCTATGCCTATGGCAATGTGTCCACAAGTCCGTTTGTCTGTGTGTGTGCGTGTGCGCGTGTAGTCTGTGTGTGCGTGTGTATGTGTAGGTGGGTACCTTATTTCTTGTATATACATGTGTATATATTTTTCTGCGTGTGTAAGCTTGTGTGTGCGTGTATGTAGGTATGTACTGTAGGCATGTCGGTGTGTATGCCTATGCCTGTGCCTATCGCGATGTGCTCATGTGTGTGTGTGTGTATGCCTGTATGTACATAAATACATATAAGTATACACATACCTGTATGTATGTATGCAGGCATGCATGCATGTATGCAGGTGTGTATGCAATGTATGCGTGCATGCATGTATGTACGCATGTCTGTGTGTGCTTGTCTATGTCTAGGAGAATGCCAATGCCTGTGACTGTGGCCGCGTGCCCGTATGCAATGTGTGTATGTGCGTATGTATAGGTGCGTATGTATATACATATCTATATATATATATATGTAGGTACGTATGTATATAGTTGTATATATGTATCTACGTACGTGTGGATGTGTGTGTACGTATGTATGTACGTATGTATGTACGGATGGATGGATATACGTATGTATGCATGTATGTGTCTTGGTGTGTGTGTGTGTACATACTTATCTGTGTATGTATGAATTTATGTATCTATGTATCTATGTACGTATGTGTGCTGTTTCGTTGTTATGTTGGTACATGCATGTAAGCATGAAAGAATGAAATTATGTATCTATGTCAATCTATGTATGTATGTATGTATGTATGTATGTATGTATGTATGTATGTGCATATAGTGTGGTCTGGTTTGGTCTACGCCAAGAAACCTGATCTGACAACCGCTTTCAGGCACCCTCAGAGCCTTCAACCCCGCATTCCGGAACCATGAAGCTCAAATCCCTTGCTCAGCATAGCACCATGACGGTGTTCTCACTGGCTGCCGCAACAAACCCACCGCAGGGTGAGACTGCCTTCGAGCGGAGAGTGAGTGCTGGATAATTGAGGTTCACGGGGATTCCGAGCAATCGTTCGCATCTGGAACAAAAACTTAGAGTGCCGGCTCAACCTTGTCAAACAGCTGGCACGGAACCTGTATTCATGCGATGACTTCAATTTAAAGACTTTATACCACTTCGGTACTGCGTGCGTTCCGAGCTGGTCACAGTGCCTCTGGTCTTCTCCGGAGGTTTCAATCCAATAACTGCGATTCGAGAATCACTCAACAGTCTGAACCCTGGCCCCCAACAGTCATGAATCAAAACGAGCTTGGAAGCTAAGAGCCAAGTCACAAGGACCGTCGCCGGTTTGGGAAGCCCAATTTCGCGGAGGCGATTTCTCTGCTGTACCTGGCCGGACTTTCCAAGATTCGAGATCAGTCTGTAAAGCAAGGAGGATGCACATGACCCAAGCCCTGCAAGCCTCCGCCGGAGTTTGAGGTGGCTCAACAGAAACACTTTCGAGCGTGGGAGACGGCCCTAGCTACCCAACCGCGCGATCAACAGCACATCCGAGATCATTGACATCTTCAGTCAACCGGCAGCATTGCCAGCAAGCCTGCAGCTCGATGACGCTTCTGCCCGCAACCATGATGGACTGGTCGTGTGGCCTTGTTCTACTGACCGAGTTGCTTGCATCGTGACCCAGCCCAGTCAAGCCAATACTGTAAGAACGTGTGCACATGATACGAGTTTGGAGACGGGACAAACAAGGTAGTGACAAGTGTCTCAAGAGGAGGTTATGTGCTGGCTGCGGCAGGCAGCTTGTCCGATCAAAGGGTGCAAATTCCAATGTCCCGTGTTAGGAAATTGAAACACTGCGAGCATCGTGAATCGTCTCCTGCTTGAAGGCCGATGACGTAATCAACAATCCGGTGTTCACATGGTTAGCAAAATACCAGCAGTTCATCTGGCCGACTAAGTTTACCGAAGGGTTCGAATCCGAAGAGCTGCACCGTGTTTCCGCATGCTCCAGACTCTGACTCTGGCCCGTGGGAGGTGAGGCTCCAGGGGGCACATATCTGATGAATACTTCGAGCACCGAAAACATCCCTTGGCCTTCATCCCAGGGTCCCAAGCCAAGAGCGCGGCATGAAAACGCAGGCGGAGAGATCCCCGTTATCTTGCATCATGGAAGTGGCCTTTGCAAGTCGGACTGATTTGCTGGCTCAAGGCCTTTGGTGATTCTTGCAGTTTCACGTGGGCAATGCTGCTGGGAAGGACTGGGACGCAGGGCTCGGGAACAGAAACATCTTCAATCAAACCAGATCTGGGTCCCAAGCGGCATGTGCTAATTGCAGGCCTGAGCCAGCAGTGCAAGCCAGTGCGCATGAGGCTCGTAGATCTACTGACTTGGCAGGAAAACCCTATAAAAGCTTGCAGTTGTGTGAGTTCCCTCTGCATAGTGGCTTGGACGGCTGTGGTACTGAGGCTCTGGCCTTGAGTTCGTTGGCCCAGATTGAGTGACGCGGAGTCGGCATCCACTCGATCTTGGCAACTCTTAAGGCCACGTAAGCTCTTCTGGGTGCTCACTGCTCTACAGCAGGGTGTTTCTCATCAACTGGTGTGGAAAGCCGCTTTTAGCCACGTGTACAGTCGACAGAGCCCACATCAGTCGCAACAGCCTCGCGCAGCCTCAAGCTTGACAGGGTCCCAAAACATGGACTACACTGAAATGCTGATGTGCAGCGGAGGGTCCAAGCCACATTCGTTTGGAAAGCAGGATCCTTGTACTACATAAATTACATCAGGTGCCCCGGCCACGCTGAATCTGCACGACGAAGCCCTGTCGGTGGATGGAGCTCCACATGTTGCAGTGCTTCAACTTGACAGAAACGATGTGAAGTCTTGCAAAAGGAGGTCCAAGTCTAAAATGACTTCGCAGGTGGAGGGGGGGCTTCTTGCAAGGGTTCTAAGATGCTTCTATAGTATAAGTAGATTCTCAGGGACTTGCTTACTACACCTTACGTTTCCTTATGGTATGTATACCGAAATATACCCCACCCCTCCCTGTTCCTGCTTTTCTGGCCCCTACATGTTCGGGCATCCGTCGGTCATTCGAGCATCTTGCCGTCATTGCTGCCTTCAAGTGGAACTAGACTTACTTAGGACCTAGCATATCCATAATTCCTTAGGGTTCCTCATATTCCATCTGACCATTCAAACTATAAATGCTAGATTCAGGTCTCCATCTTTGGAGCCTGAGTATTCCTATCATTACGGTCCTTCACCCTAAACCCTAAATCCCGCTTATGGACCGAATTTGAGGTTTTTCCAACGGCCAACGCCATAGCCGCCGGTTCCCCGCTGCGGAGCCATGGCCCAGGACGGGGGGAATCCCAGAGGAATTCACGGTTTACGAATCTAGGGTTTGTAGGAGTGTAGGGCTTAGGCTTAAGGTTTCACGCCTTGGGTCTGGATTAGGGTTTAGGCCGAGAGGGGCAGGTGATCGTGACAAGTTTGATTTGCACATACGACTCAAGGCTCTGCAACAGTCACACTGCAGCAAATGATGAGCTTGACAATCTAATGATTTTAATGGGATCAAGGTGTAAGGTGTAGACTGTAGACACACTTTACATTTGGCCTCAACAAGGATGCACTCGCGTAGCACCCCAAATTATTGAGTAAAGCTCTCTGAAGCAAGCTGAACCGCTGTGGCAAGCGCTGCCTCGCCGTCCGGCGACGCCGCGGCAGTGTGATCTGGAGGAAAAGATGATCCTGGTCGCCGAGGGCGTGTCGTTCAAGATTCTGAAAACCAGGTACACCACATATTGAAGTAAATGCAGCAAGCTCAAGTTGTCGGATTAAGGTGTCTCAGACCTTTTTGTGGGCCAGCCTGACAGAGCTGAAAGATTTGCGACCAGAGCAGATTGAACGAAATCGGATTAATATGATAACCTCTCACTCTGACGCGTTCGCCTGTCGGCCACCCCCCGTCCACCCAAGATATCACACTCGGAGCCTTTGAGGACAACTGCTCTTGCGTCTGGGGAATTGAAATTTAGAGACCATGCAACAAGAACCGCGGCCTCGACTTTGCGGGGATATCGTTTTTCGTGTTTCTTGCCCAAACTTCGGGCCCCAGGTCCGCATCCGGGTCCGGGTGCTCTTGGTTGGGAGGCGAGGGTTTCGGGAGAAAAGCGATATCATGGATGTTGCGTGCTTGTTAAGCCAACCCAACGTCCGTGCAACTGACACAGAGGACGCCTGTCGACCCAACCCCAGGCAGTGTCGAAGCAAAGCGTCGGCAGGCTGTCTGCAGGACACTTCTCTCGCATTTGACTTTACGGTTCGGTATGTCTTCGGTCTTGCATTGCAAGCGGTCCTGTTCCAGATGCACTGGACACCATCTGCACCGACAGGACGAAGGAGGGAGCAGTCTCGGTTGCCTCAAGGAGCAAATCTGAAAGCTTGCCTTGTTCCAAGACACCGGCTTCGTGCGATCCAGGCTGGACAGCCCGGTGCCCCTATGACATGCCAGACAGTGACAGAAAGACTTAGGGCTTTAGGGCTTAGGGCATCCGCATGGGAAGCTAGCTACGCTACCTTCAGCTTTGCACTTCCGGGCCTCGGTCGCAGCCGGGCTGACCTGCAATCACCCAAAAGGATGGACTGTGACTATGGAGCAAGTCCTAGTCCCAGTTGTCCTAGCGCCTCACAACACGACAAGGCCTCCCCCTGCCTCGACCGCCTCGGAGGTTTGCGAGGGCAACTCCTCAAGAAGGGCCAAGCCTCGGCAGTGAAGGTCTCTCAAGGTCCAAATTAAAATGCACCTTGGCGAAATCATGCACCTCAAGCCAAGATCCAATCCTCCACCTGCAACTACTGTAGCAAGTATCTCAGCCATCAGCATATCTCTTTGCTTTTGGGGTGGCCGAAAGCAAGGACACCTGAGGCAAGCTTGAACACGATCTCCATCGGCAAAGATCAAATGATGGGACCGAAGTCACACGAGACCGGCCTCGTGAGCTCCAGCTCAAGCTGGAGATGCACTCCTCCGACCGACGTCTCTGTCATGTGTCTTCCCTAAAGCCTCTCTTCTAGGGGCCGCTTGAGGCGGAAATTTAGCGTTGCCCCTTGAGACTGCTTTTTCCAAGGCAGGTGTCTTTGGGGGAGCAGAGCATTCCGCAGCCTCTCGTACGAGCACTCCGCCATGACATGCTGGCTTCGATCCCATCAGTGGGGTATTTTTGGGTCAGGCTTCTACAAGTCAGAGAAGTGTCCTTGCACTCTGACAGCTGGAAGAGACTTTGCTTCCGCACGAGGTCCCAAACCTCGGGGTGCAGAGATCAGGGTCCGCAGTTGGGGAAGCCCCCTGGCTGCAAAGTGTGCAGATCAGACCTGCCCTGCCGGTGACATCGGCAGGAACTGCCACAACAGAATCTCAAGGCAATTCTTAGTCCTTCCGCTGGAGGATCTGGTCCTGGGAGCGGGAGCTCCTCTGAGCTGCTTCGCAAGCTGGCAATTTGCAGGGCACCACTTGCAGTGGCTCAGATGCCTCGAAATTTCGACTTCCGTAGAAACACCTGTATATGGGGGCTTCGAGTCCGCGTCGCATCGGTTCCGGTTTCTGTTCGCCTGGGGAGCAGCGCTTCAAGATCAGGTCGGAAGCCCGCAGTCCGAGTCAGCTGCCCGGATCGTCCCATCGTCGCCACCCGATGCCAAGCACCGCAGGCTCGGGCCTCGAACGAAATTCACGACAGCCGTGCCGTGCCGTGCCGCGCGGACGTCTTCGGCTTCTGCGATCGAAGACGCGAGAACTTCTGCCAGGCTCGTCACGGCCCTTCCTGAGACCTCGACTCCAGGCCATGGCCTTCACAGAGCTGGCGCAGGGCCTCCACCCAGAGCACAAGGTAATCATTGGCTGGGCACTGTGCTCGGAGCTCCTGCTTCGGTGTCTGGCCGTGTAATTGTGTGTCTGTGTGTAGTACATTGGACATACACTTACTATCCCATAATCCACGATGGGCCGGTGCCCTGTTCTTGGTCTATCCGCCGTCTTTCCTTTACAAAGGCTCTAGGGGTTGCACTTCTTGAATTTTGGTAAGCACTGACGGTCTGAGTGTCATCCAGAACACTAGAACAACTGTAGGTCGACCTGACCGACGCAAAACCAAGCCAAAATACCAGAAACCCTTTACAGTTTGCCCCAAGGCCACTGCAGGTCGAAAGCATGATCGAAGTTCTCCATTTCGAAGACGGACTCGGTGGCAAGCACTGAGATGTGCTCGGTGTGTTGGATCCAAATTGGCTTCAAAATTTCAAGCTCTGCCATTCAGATGGTGCGAAATCTTTCAGGCCACGACGATCAGCTTGCCGTCTCCGGCAGTGGCCAGGCGGGTACCATCCGGCTGGTACCTTTTCGGATACATCGAGTAGAGGTTCAACGGGCTGGCATTCCATTTGATAGGGTGACGCGGAAGGTTCGGTAGCTGTCTCTTGCAATTCAAGTTCGTTCGATTTCTTTTGTGTTGTTGACTTATTTATGTTGTCTCTCGCTTCTTCCACACGGCCAAAGAAAGGGCGGTCCGGACCACCCCCCCCGACCCCCTGCGCGCACGCGCGCCCTGGTCTCCAAGATCTTGAGTGAAAATCTGTGCTTGATGAGGCGAGAGGTCTGGAACTGTCTCTCGCTCTCTCTCTCTCTCTCGCTTTGTCTCTGGCATGGACGTCTCTGGGTCAACCTCTGTCTGTCTCGCTCCGTCCGTCTGTCCGTCCGTCCGTCCGTCCGTCCGTCCGTCCGTCCGTCCGTCCGTCTGTCTGTCTGTCTGTCTGTCTGTCTCTTCTCCCATTATGTTGAAACATGCACAAAGGGAGACGTGATATCAAGTGGCTCCTATGCATGAAAAGAAGGAACCCGGACATGCAATGAAAGAATGAATGTTGCTCCATCGACCGCATCTCAGCCTTCTCAGCAGGATCATAAACCAGGCAGACTCTCGAGAGCAAACCATACCAAGACCCATTCCCCGCACAAAACATAAAGCTTTGTCTCTCTGTCTGCCTGCCTGTCTATTTGACGCTGTCTTCAACTGGCTGGCGCGCAGTTTGTAACTCCTACTGCTCACGCTTGTTGAAAAAAACGGGTTGCCCCTCGCCCCGCCTATCTGTCCGCATGTCCCTACGGTGTCGGTCTGTCTCTCTGCCTGTTCGTCGTTCCGTCCATCGTGTTTCCGCCCATCCTCTCTTCCTCCTTCCTTCCCTCTTCCTTCCTCCTTTCCTTCTTCCCTCCTTCCTTCCGTAGGCCCAAAGATCAGTGCATTGCTTACATGCCAACCATGACTCGATGAGTCTCTAGTTACACATGCGACTATGCGACTTTGCTCTGGGAAAATGATAGCATCGTCCTTCCGTAGCGTATCAGAGGTCTCCGATAACGTGGGATCAGGCTGGAGATACCGGCGCACGCGAGAGCATGGACTTTGTCGGCGAACACGATGGAGCCAATCCTCAAGCGGTTCAGTGAAGCACTGAGCACCAACATGGCAACGCCGGATGTGCAACATGTCTTCGAAGAAAGATCGTCTCGAGCCGCTTGCCTGCCAAATACAGAGACATCCCAGATTACCTGAGATGCACATGATCAGCAGCACAGGTGATGCTCAAGCTGGAATCGATGTATGCTGACACGAACTTCTCAATAATAAGGGAACCTTTGCTGACAGACGCTTAACATAGTTTGCTGACTTCGAACATGTGTTGGCGACTCGAAAAGCTGTCTTCTTTGAAAAATAAATCTCTCTACATCTGTCTGCCTGTACGCCTGCAGCCGCGGGCACCTCCATCTTACATCTCTCTCTGATAAGAACGAACAGCCGCGACGAGAAAGACAAAGTGCGAGCGCGAGAGGCAGAACGTGACGCAAACAACAATTCACTCTGCGCGCAAGCAAGCTCCGCCAGCGCATGGAGCTTAAACTTGGTCTTCAGTCTTAACCTCATTACATGATCCTGCCGGGTGGCACATCCCTCTGCCTCCGGAGCGTCAGCTGGCAGTGAAGGATCCTGGGCGAGACGGACATCCGCACTTCGCCACCCGAGGCCTGACTGACGCTTTTCGGGCCTTCAACGTCCCCTGCATCTAAAAGCTCATCTCAGAAGCGCATCAGCAACGTTCGCTTTGTGCTTCGTTGACATGCGATGCCGCTCGTAAGTCTCAAGATGTTAGATCGACAACCGTTGAGTGCAACGAGAGGCAAGCAGAAGGAAACGGATACGTGCAGAGCCATTAAGCTCGAACCGAAGTTGTGAGCATCTCGCCAGCTGTGGGAACATAATACAAGGCCGGAAATGGCTTTGACCACGGCATTGCCACGTGGGTGCAACTGGATCTGGTTAGTTGCAAGAGGGCGAGAGGGACCTTCTGGACTCAGGCATGACTTGCTTGCAAGGTCCCGGGCCCAGTGTGCCCTTGGTAGCACCGAGGAGTCGTGTTGCTTCGGGAAAGCTGCTCAGGCCGGCGCTGCAGCGCCACCCACAGCTACGAGCCTAGCAAGGCTTTGCAGGCCGATGGCTGCCACCACTGCTCTCGAACAACATGGTTGTTCCAGAAAGCTTTAATTAGCCATAAGTGCCCCACAGGGTTCTAGGTCAGTAAGCCGGGCTCTGGGCAGGCAGGGCGGCATGCAGGAGATGTCTAATTCGCCAGTATTATTGTATGGCTAGCCTCATGGGCTTCATGCCGCAACCTTGGTTTCCGGGCACAGAACTGCGGACACATAACTTAGCAAAGGTTTCTCTTTTTGTCGAGCGACACCGTGGTGTCCGGGGAGGCACAAAGTGCGGATACCCCAGGCTGCACCAGCTCCACAACCTCCTGCGGGTCACAGCTTCAAAGCTCTCAGAAGCTCGGGGCACTGAGATTTCTGCCATTTACACATAAACTTTGACCAAGTTTTCTAGATAGAAGATATCTCTCTCCTTCCCTCTCTCGCTGGCGTTCGCTCTCCTAATAACAAAGCTAGTTACCCGAATACTCGTTTCTAGCTGCTTCTTGCTGTCCTGAAACTCAGGAATTGCGAAGAGCCGCACCTCAGACCGAAGAGGAAAGTTTATGTATAGATATACAGGTATGGGTATGAATATAGACAAAGACAACGATATAGACATAGACACGGATGTAGATGTATATGTACATAAGGAGAAGGGATAGACATAAGCATAAACATCGGTATAGGCATGGGTATAAATATTCAGGATTAAGCACTTGGTGTGAGGTATTCGGAAAAGGCATGAATATCAGGTCTAGGTACGAGGAACTGGCTATTAGGCGCTACATCTTACATAATTAATAGATAGGTATAGTATATGATATCAATTATGTATACGTACATATATATATATATATATTTTTTTTATTTATTTATTTATATTTACTTATTACTGATTGATGCTATATACTGTACGCACTGTTTTTGTGTTTTGTCTTACCTGCGTTATAGTACATACTACACAGTTCGTGCTAGATGTTATGTACTATGTGGTACATGTGAAACTTTATACATGGCATGTTGGATTCATGGAATTTATTATGCATTTGCAGTTTCTTTGCTACAAACTGTATGCTGAAAATGCTCTGTAACTAATATAAGATATATGGGCTGTGTTCATTCTACAGGAATGTAGTATGTATTGAACAAATTCTGTATACTCTAACATAAACTACATTTTATGTTGTATCCATATACGAATGTAGACACGAACATATACATAATTCTGCACGTATTAATAATTTACACCTATGTTATGAACCATATACCCTCTGTTTGTACAGTATGTAGTCATGTATTCTATATGTTCTATAAGCAGATATAGTTATACCCTCGAATTTTGTGTTGTACACTACGAACTGAATGCCGTGTACTTGCTTTAGGCTGTATGTTATATAGAATAATATGTACACTGTTGTATACTGTATACTGAGTGTTATATGTTATAGGTTACCCATTATCTGACTAAAGACGGCAAACATGTTCTGTATACAACACAATACGCTTTACATCTTTTAGTATTGCATATAGATATGCGCATGTGTGTGTATATATATACATGTCATTCAAACATACACTTGTATATGTTTACACATCCACTTACACATACATATATGTATATATATATATACACAACATGGTTATTGGAATAGTATACCCCGTTAATTCGGTATACCCTACATGAAAGCATAATTAAATATGGTTGCCTCCTTCAGGTTTGCACACGTGCAAATCTTTTCATGCTGACCAGAGGTAGAACACGAAGTGAAGCCGACGAGCAGGCTGGCAACGACGGCCCAAAGGGTGAACAGCGACCACGCACCGGAAGCCAAACGATGAAGTCGCAGCCCCAATCACCTACGTAACACATCTCGGGCAAGAGCAGACTCAGCGAGAGCCACCGCCAGCTTATCATCGGCGATAAATCTAAGCACCATCACCTGCTGCACGTTGCAGGTGGATTCGAATTTGGTTAGGTTCTCAAAGGATGCACACATCTGTGTCATGGATCGACCCCGCCACTTCCACGAATACTGCTTTCCAAGATCCACTTCCAGATGCATACATGAGGTACATATCCCTACACAAGCAAGGCCTTGACTGACTCTCAGAAGCCCTTATTGGCGCAAGCCATGAGCTCGAAACAGCTAAAAGCGCTGAACCAAGACCCTGACTCTGACCTCAAAACACCGCTAACCGCTGGCATAATCAAGAGCCTCTTCTGGCATCTCCCTTGTCACGGATTTCGAGGTGTTTGTGTCCCAAACGTAGATCCGGCCTCCGTGCCGTCTCTGTGCATCAAACCATAAACCCTTGGGATCTGTCGAGTAGTCGTATTGCTGTGTTCGTAGAATTGAAGAAGTCCACTGCATTATGATTTGCTCTTGACACACCTGACTGCAACAGCCTGTAACTGTAGCGCCTTCTACAGACTCTGCTCGCATGGAAATTCTCAGACTGGTCATCAAGATCCCATGCCGCGAGCAAGGGCAAAGCCAGCATGCGAGCTCGGGGATGCCTCGAAGGTTTGCAGCTGCTACGTGCTTTCCACCTTGGATCGTGCAAGCTGCACCTTCTCTGCAGGGCGATTTGCACACTTCTGCCTGTGTCCGTTCAGAGTGATGCACGAGGCTTGACTCGACCCTGCGGTTCGTTTACAGCATCAACTTCCAGCTTCCTGCCACTACAAAGCGGTGCTCACAGGCTGTGTGGGTTCACAGAAAATTGTGGCGTGACTTTCTGCCAAGCTGCTGGGCGACGCCGCAAATCGGCTCACAGAGGACGTAGCAGCTTCCCAGAGCATGGCAGGAGGCACGGCCTCGGAGCTATGAAACCGTGAAGCCAAACGAACCCTAAACCCTCAAACCTAAACCCGGCCTAAACCCCTAAACCCTAAACATCTAACGCAGCCTTCGTCAAAAACCCCGGGAGCCCATAAATTCTGTGGACGAAAGCCCTCGGGGCCCGAGCCTGCCAGCAGGCAACGGTGCCCTGGCGCCAGAGGTTTTTAGGGTCCTGATTGTGTAGTAGTAGATGATATTATAGTATATCAAATTATAGTGCAGTACAGTCTAGTATATTTTGTAAGAATAGTACAGTATAGAATAGCATAGTATAATATACTCGTAGTGCCCCGAAGGATCCTGGGTCAGGTCCTGCATGGATGGCCCGGTGCGAAAGGAAAGGGGGTGCACCAGGCGTTTCAGAATCCGTCAATTGAAGGCACCTCGCCTTCTGAAGGCATCCTAGGAGTTGGTGGCTGGGCATGGCGGCCCAAGGTGTAGAATCTATCGGAAGCAAGTTTGTATAATGGAAGGTGATCTGAGGCCTTACAGCTTGGTATACATGTATACATATGAGACAGAGAGAGAGAGAGTGTGTATGTGTCTGTGTGTGTGTCTGTGTGTGTGTCTGTGCTACTATAATAGGTCATTAGGTCCTATGATGGTGGCGGAAGCCCAGGCCCAGCCTCGTCGGCAGTTGCCAGGCGGCCATCGCTGCCTGGGGCACCCGACTGGTATGGGCCTTAATACTTACCTGTATTATTTGGGGGGTTCCTTATTATAACTATAGTATATTATTGGAGCCGGGCGGAAACTGTGCTTACTTGGGTTTTTGTGGGGCTTAGAGGCGTGGAGTTTGCCGGGTTTCCGAAAATCCCTGAACTCATCCGAAGCAGAACTCGTGAAGCGAATGCCATGTCTTCGGGCTGCCAAGCTTGATGCTGGCACACTCCAAGGACTTCCGAGGCTGAACCGCCATCACCAATTCTCCCACACCCTGCATCCCCAGGCTGTGCACTCATGGCAGTAAGCCGAATGCACTGCAGGCGTTCGGATTCAAACTCCTGTCCGAAACTCCCTCGATCCTCCGTGGCATCCTGCTCCTCAAAGAGCTGCCACTGAGCGCTAAGAGTGTTACACATGACTCGCGATTCAGATCCAATCACTCTCTGGAAAGCACTGCGCTGAAAGCCCGCGGCTGAAGGCAAAGTCTACAACGCGGCCTTTGTGCGACCTCGCGCAGGGGCATTGGTTGTTTCCGGGCGGATCTTGAGTCTGGACTTCGCGTGGAATGCACAATGAAGACACTGCGGGGCCGACTTCTCGACACCCGCCCTGCAGCATCTAAGAGGCATCCCATCAGGGTGCACGGAAGCCCATCCCTAAAAGGTCAAGGTGCGAAGCATTGGATTGAGATCCCTGCAACCTTTCCGCGGTGCCAGCATGGCACGCGACGGGAACGCGTCGCAAAGGATCCGAGGGGTCCGGCCCCCGCTCAGTCTTCCTTGGGAAGTTGCGGCTTGGCTGTTCTCTTGCTCCGGGGAGACGGGGTTTCAAGCAATGCAAGGAGGCATGAGGCATTAATGTCGGATCTGGCGGACAGAAGATTGATCAACAGAGGTCATTCTGAAGTTGAGGCGATTCACCGACAGCAAACATGAAAATCTGTCCATGCTGGTCTCTGGCGTGTCGCCTCCGAACCCCCAAAGCCTCCAAGCCCCACCTCTAGAACTCTAGAAGCAGGCAAGCTTCTCCACATGATGGTAGGTGAAGCCGAGCAGGTCATCAAGCTGCGAGGCAAGCTTGGAGGAATTGCTCGCTCTAAGATCTGTCTAATCAGCTCCTAGAATCAGAAGGCGACATGAAAGTCCAAACTTCCAAAGTAAATCCACAACCTGCGCTGCCTGTTGCAGAGATGCCTTCGCCACAGATGCTCTAAGCAATCCAAAGATCGAGAATTAGAACCTGACGTTTCTAATAGCTTTGAGGAGCTGCCTCAGAGGCGCGATTCACCGGGCTGACATCGGTGAAGCTAGAAAGCCTGGGATCAGGCTCATAAGCAGACCAAGTGCAGGAAAAGGGAAGCACGGAGCTCAAGACCAACCAACATCACCTACGACCGAGGTTTGTCAAGCAATCTGCTTGGATTCGTCGTAAAGTTAGCGTCAATTTCGCCACCTTTGCCGTCATCAGCATGCCTTTCAGCGTTTAGCCGTGCCGTCGTCAACGTCGATCGTCATCCTCCTGCTCGTCTTCCTACTCATCCTGCTCCCACCCTTAGAGGTCGCAGAGCCTTGCCCATGTTTTGGAACGATGATCGAACTGCTGAAGAGTCCCCGGCGCATCAAGCAAACAAACCCCGTGGCCAAGATTTCAATATTCAATATGATGACAACACCCGGTATAACATAACATATCTTGGCACAAGACGACATAATATAATATAAGTCATATAATACGATACAACATAATATAATATGATATTATATGATACATTAAAACATGAAATATAAGACAAAAATGTAATACAAGATAATATAGAATAAATGAAACATAATATAAAAGGGTAATACAGTATAGTATAATATAATGAACAGCATGTAATACAATAAAATACAAAATAAATATACTACAATACAATATAATATAATGTAATATAATGTGATATAACATGTTACGATATAATATGATACGACATGATGCGATGTGATGTGATATGATATATGGACATATTTGTAATTGCACAATATAAATGTAACATAACACAAAATCACATCACCAAACATGGCTAGGCTATTCTTTGGTCTTCTGCCGAGGCGCGTCTCCGCATTTGGACCCTCCTCCTGGGAGCCCTGGTGGCGGAATTTCACCGTTCCTGCCGTCTTCATACCTGGGCTCGGTTGAAACTGATTCTGACAAGTCCTTAAGGCCCCATAGGGCGAATCTCCAAGCCTAGAGCCGGGCCCGAGCACTTCTGCTTGCAGGCGATCCCGAAGAAAGCGGCAAGCGTCGAAAGTTCTTGCGCGCTTGATCATGGACGGTGTCCGCTTGGGTTCGGTGCCATTTCGGAAGCAACTCTACGCGTCACTCTACGCCACGCGATACTGCTAAGTTGCAGAACCTCCGCCATGCTTGCAGGGCCGCAAAAACAAGTGACACCTGACCGGTGCTTCTGGAAATCACACAGAGTATCCGTTCCGGTCCAAGGCATTATGTTGAAGCAGAACACCAAAGCATGCAGAAGCACCACGAGCGTTCCAAGTAAAACCTACGATCTGCACCCTAAACACTGCCGCCGAGGGACTTTTGAAAGACTTCAGGGACAGGCTTTGGCTCTGGCCTCCTGTTTCGGTCCTTCGACTGTCTGGAAGAGGTTTTGGCAGTTATTCCGCTTATCGTTGCACCAGAGCCGAGTTCAAGCCTTGACCCATGTGGCCTAAATCTCGAATCCGGTTTGAGGGGGCGGTCTTCCCGATCCCAACGTTGCTCACCCCTGCACCAGATTCATGCACGGCTCATACCACCGCATCTTTGATTGACAACTCACGGATCCGTGGTTGTGTCCCCACATGTGCTGAAACCCTGCGATCTGGGAGAAATTCGATAATATCAGAAACAATAGTAACAATGGAAGACAAACAAGTTGTACTGCAAGTCGCAGATGGCAACGTCGTTGTGAGAATTCGTAGTGGCAGTGGTAACAAAGTGCGAACCGCAACTGTAACAGTCGGAGTCGTGGTTCTCACAACAAGGGTAGTAAGAGCAGAACTACGTAGGATTTGTACCAGTAGTGGCAGCAGAACCCGAAAATGCGATTTGTTACGGCCAAGACTGGGCCAAAAAGAGCCACCAAGACCCGGCAGCACGATTTGTTACGGCCAAGAGTGGGTCAGAAAGAGCCACCAAGACCCCGGCAGCACGATTTGTTACGGTCAAGAGTGTGCTCAGAAGGAGTCAGCAGGACCCGGGAGTACGATTTGTTACGCCAAGAGTGGGCCAAAAAGAGCCACCAAGACCCGGGAGTACGATTTGTTACGGCCAAGGAGTGGGTCAGAAGAAGTCACCAAGACCCGGCAGTACGATTTGTTACGGCCAAGAGTGGGCCAGAAAGAGCCACCAAGACCCGGCAGTACGACGTGCGTAGCACAAGCCATCAACCTGAGCGCACAAACCACCCCCGACCATCAGAAGCTAGTCAATGCTCAGATACCTCTCATCCGAAGGCCCCCCCTTAGGAACTCGACCGTCTTGCAAAAAACACAGCAAGGGTTTTGCACAAGCTCCTGGGGCTCGGTGTAGTTGGCTTCGTCTCGGTCTCGGCCACAGCGATGCTCACAACGGGCCCTTTTGTTTCGGGCTCAGGGGACACCTGGCATGCATCTCAGCGGCTGGGCTTCTGGGTGAAGTCAGACTCAACATGTGGAAGCAACCAACCTTCGAAGGCTCGGTCTTGGGAGAAAGCGGTCGCAAATACCGGACTGATTGAGTTTCAGGTGTGGATACGTTATAACGTCCATTCGGGTCTGTCACCTTTGATTTCACTCTCCAAACCTATGCCCAAGGAGATGGGGTTGAAGATGTTTGGATGTCTGCCAACCCGATAGGCAGCTGCAGGTGCAAAGCAATCAGAAACTGAATCCCAATTCACCCATCAGAATCCAGGAGCGCCCACTGCGCCCACTCTAGCCTGATAATGGACAGTCGCCGAACTCGGAAACCGGGGTATGTACGCAAGACCGGTAGGATGGCAGGCCCCTGCGTTTCTACAAGTTTTGCTTCTGCTACATGGGACAAGTCAACCTGCACAACACCACCCACGAAGCAAACTTTCCAAGACGAACGTCTGCTCATCGGAAGGTGGAAAAGATCCAGACTATACTTCTGTTTCAATCAGAACGGTTTGGCGCCTCCTCTTCTTCCTCACATCTTTGGCTTTCGCTGGCCTGCGATTCAATAGCGGAAAATCTTTTGCATGCGCTCCCGAGCTTCCCAAGCCCATCCCACAGTGCCCCAGCTAGCTCTAGAGTCCGGCACCATCTAGTAGCACCGGAACGGTTTCGCTTTGCTCCGAAGATACATTCTCCGATAGCTTCGGACCAATCTACAAAGTCGGCTCCTCAAAGACGTGCCGAAGAAAACATGAGATAGTCACTGTCACCTGGAAGGCAGTCACAAAAGAGCTCCCAGCTCCTGCCTCCTACGGGTTCCTGCCAATAACCACTTTTAGCAGCATCGATGCAATACCCAGTGCTTGAATCCCTCCCACGCCGCCCACCGATACACCCACCCGCAGGCCGCAATTGCCCAACCTTGAGACGAAAGCCAGATCACACCAGGACACACAGAATTCTGAGACGATCTTCGGTCCCGAAACATACGTGACCAAACCCTGTCTTTGAGGCTGAGGTTCTTAAACTCTAATACTGATGCTTACCCCTTTCCCCCGGCCTTGCTCTTGGGTGCGGGAGCCTGTGCGCACACTATCCGAGCAGTCTCGACCTGGCCGCGAGTCCCAGAGGCTGGGCAGACACGATACGTGATGATGCGAACCACCAAGCCGGGCAAGCAGCAGCAGAAGGAGCAGTAGCAGTAGCAGTAGCAGTAGCAGTAGCAGTAGCAGCAGCAGCAGCAGCAGCAGTAGCAGCAGCAGCAGCAGCAGCAGCAGCAATAGCAGTAGCAGTAGCAGTAGCAGTAGCAGTAGCAGTAGCGGTAGCGGTAGTGGTAGTGGTAGTGGTAGTGGTAGTGGTAGTGGTAGTGGTAGCGGTAGTGGTAGTGGTAGTGG